CGCCATCTATTAGAAGATCAACGGAACCATTGCTCTCGCTGCTCTCGAGAGGTCGAGTAAAATTTCTGAAACAAAAGCGCATCAGTAATTACACCATAATATCTTACTTCCATCATTATGGGAATCATTCGGAGCCTTTGGAGGATCGTACGACTCGCCCTTATTGAGAAGTACTTATTGATGGCAGGAGTGCTTGACACTCGAAATGTCGTTTTAGCAAAGGTAGCAGAATAGACTGTGAATTGAACGAGTTTGTCAAAAATTTATTTGGAGTCATTGTCTAGCTGCAAGGACAAAAGAAGGTGTCAGAACAGAGACTCTTGACTGAGACTTGTGAGGGTGATTCAAAGATGCAACTGGGGCAGGTTTGTAGTAGGGAGACATACGCAATATTTTGCAAGATCTGATGATTTTGACTGTTTGGAGCAAACATTGTCATGATAATTTAAACTGAATCCAACACAGTAAACACTGAGTTCTGATCAATGTACTCGTATGAACATGGGTATTCAACATTTCAATTCCTTCAGACTTAAGAAACAAAAATCCTATATTTTGGATTAGAACTATAATATACCTAGAACTTTTGATCGGACTAAATCAGTTTTATTGGAGACGATTCCTAATGCTAGAAGACCTCTGAAGACGGATCCATATTGTTTTGAAGTATAGGAGGAGGTGGAAAACAAGAATAACTGATTCCTTCTCGGTATATTTAACAGAAATCAACTACTTTCCTGGCTATATGCCACGACGAATATTAAATTATATCTTTTGAACACACACACGATAAGAATTTGAAAATAAAATCTTCTGAAGTTGAGAATTCGAATTCTCCTTCAGATAGAAATATGTATGTACATAATATCATTCTGAATATTCAATAGAAAACAACTACTTTCCTGGCTATTTGCCACGTCTAAAATTGAATTATATCTGTTGAACATGATTATAAAAATCCTCTGGAATTGAGAAATGACATTCTGTTTAAAATCAGATGAATAATTTGATGTACATTGGAATGAAAATATAACTTATCAATATATTGAGTATCGAAATGAAAATTGAAATGTATAGGAGAAGTATACTTGCATAAACTCTGATCTTGATGAGCTTGAAACTTCCAAAAATCATTCGAATCAGTGATATGGAAATATTATCTCTCACGAACAAGCTATATGACTTTATTCGAATGAACTCATTTTGGATATAAAACCCTCCTCAGTAACCTGAAGTCTAGTTATTCTTTCAGCCATTCTTCATGAATTTTTTTTTCATCCCTCTATAATATAACTAAAACTATAACGAACTGAATCTGAGAATTATTTTTGTTGACATTCAACTCCTGTCATTTGTGTGCTTTTGTTTTTGAATGTATGACAAATTGACATTCATCATACAGGACGTGGAAAGAAATTCTGACATACCCAATTGAGGGGTTCAAACTTGTACGACGTGAACTTGTTTTTTTATAGACCTCTAATTTCAGATTCCTGATCGAGTTTTCTCAATTCTGAATTTCTGTCCACGTCCTGTATGATGAAAACCAATTTGTCATATATCCATAAACAAGAATAACTGAATTGTGTTTCTATATGGTAGGTATGCTTCAGGTGGGCATATGCAAAAAGAACTGAAGGGAAATTCAGAACATTCTATATCTGATTGGAAGTGCTTTTATCTTCATCAATTTACAAATACATTTCTTGAGGTAGCCGCATTATGTTTCAAGAAACAGGTAATGCAGTAAATCAGTATTATTTTTCTAGACATTAATACTCAACTTTTGTGCGTTAACATCGAATAGCCTCTTATCACGCGATTGTCCACAATCGATCAAAAGATACCGATGACACATCATATCCCGAGAGCATCTGAATTGAAATTGATGCTGCACGATGACGATACATTTCAAGTTGTATTTAAACGCATTCTCACGTTGGTCTGTATACAATTTCTTGAACCGTAGATGGCGGTAGAATTGTAAAGCTTGTAGGAATAATAATTATGGGTACGAACTTCACACACGTTTTAGGTTTAAGGAAGGCCTCTGCCTCTATTCCAGAACGAATCTCTTGTCATCGAGAAAAAACTTTGGAACCAAATAAGCTTGATATTATGAGGTTCAAACTCGATAGCCAGAAACAGACCAAATTTCTCTGTTGTCTCTACTTATCACCAAATGACCCATCCTATGAAGAGCTCTTCGAAATCTTGTCTCTGAAGGAACCTCCAGAAATTTAAGAACGAAAAAAACCTGCAAACGACTTTGATTGTTAGCAGGAGGTGCAAACTAAAATCGACCGATCTGAGCATTTTTTCGTATCTACGCTATTATAACCCAAAATCTGCTTGTCAAGTTGAAAATGATGAAAAGGTTATTAAATAATCAACATGAACACGTGACCAAAATATCAACATGAAGGAAGAAGAAACCTGCAGAACACAATAACTCTGAAATCTTGGACTATGGATGCTATATATGGAGGGACTCCGAAAGAAATTTTTCAGATATCTCGTAAACCAAGCAAAATTTAGAAAGAAATGTGGTGAGAAAAAAAATAGATAATTGATTTTGTTATTCAAGTAGATATTAAAATATTGTCAGTGGCGTACTCAAAAAAAGTTCTATGGATTTTCTCCAATCAGAATGCTAAATTTGTATCTCCCTGTATATCGACTGCACTGATGAGACCTGTTATCTATGCACACTTCTTATAGTTGACTGCCTTCCAAATTTCAGATCATTAACTCTCAAGGATTTTGAAATATTCAAAAGGATCTGAAAAAAAAATCCATTCATCGCCCTCTCACGGCCCAACTGTGCATTTTCGTATAGAGGTAAGTTGGTCCCAATCGACCTATTTTGAACTCTTGTTCACCCTGTTGAATTTAATGTACGTTGTTCTGGGACACCCTGTATAGCAATACTAGCCAGACGAACTCGACATGCGCAGTCAGTACATCCTTTCGTTGTCAACCTTGGTATATGTCGAACAGCACTATATCGAAACTCGTTTCTCTATAGAAAGGGAAAGCTCTGGAATTCATTGCATGAGGAAGTATTTCCAAGAACTTATAATCTTCAAAAGTTCAAAAATAATTCCAACACCTACCTCCTGTCCCTATCCTCCCTAGGTACGCACGATGTTCTTCGAACCAAGTGAAAGAAAATATCCTGAAGATCCTGAGGATCATGATGATAGGATGGGCAAGGGAACTGATATCTTGAAAACTTTCTTAGTCGGAACCTTTTCACTAACTTTTCAAATTTTCATATTATTCATGATAAGTATTCTTCAATGGTCTTACGTTCTTGAAAATGAAAATAAAATCACAGCCTCATTCAAATGGTAGAGAATTGATTATCCACTCCTTGTAGTTGAATTTGCAACTCGGTGAGTACTGCAGCAACAGACTAGAGCAATTTTCTGGATGTATATTAGAACCGAGTTAAAACCCTTTAGTTCATCTTAAAACGTCCATGGTTTATTCGGGTGAGTATTTTTGTTAAGCTCTAGCTTGGTGAATCCAAATATATAGAACCTTAATATTTCATTTTGTTGGAGTAAACAGACATAATACTTTCTTTGCGGCAGTGTCCTGAAACGATTGAAATGGTGCACATTATAATATCTTTTGCCTGCTTACAATGGGGAAAGAACAGAATAGTCAGAGACTTACTAGAATGTTTTAGTATCTATATCAAGATTTATGAAATATTCATCGACGTTTACACAGGTTGGCTCCATAGTAATAGCTGTTGCCAATTTGAATCACAGGAACGTCAGCTCGATAACAATCTGTATAAAGTGAGATTGGTCATTTCAGATTTATCGATATGGTTGAGTTAGGTATATTACACAGCGATAATTAAACCATTAGGAATTAATGTATGACGAGTTAATTGATAAACACCGAACTTATAATTGATTATAATGAATTTAATTCCACCGATGCGGAAGACACTTGATTAAAATGTAATCTCAATTGCCATTTTATTACGCTTTACTCTGTACTTTGGAGAGTTTTACCGCTATAAGTGCTGGTGCCATTAATGTCGTCGGCAGCTGTATGACTGCCATGCATTTTTTTCAATTACCTACCTATTTCTTTCAATTGGAAATGATTACAGTAACTAGGGAAACGGTTCTTGCATTTCCACGAAAAAACAGTCTGATGATAGAGGAAAAAACAAACCTCCGACATGCTTTGACCGTCAGGTATTATTTCAGTGAACAACATCAGTTTCAAGTCTTCTTCTTCTCTATGGGTTTATTGGATTTCTGTCTCCTTTCGGAAACAATTTCTCCAGATCATGTAATTAATTAATTTTCAAGAATGAATACTTATTGGTTATGTAATAATATTATCACTCGACTCTCCACATAAGACAACGATTGTCTATCACAATGGCCTGAAGCCGATAGTCCTCAGTGTTCATAAGATTCGATCGTATGTACTCCTCTCATCCAGCAAATCTGTTGCTGATCTGGCCTGATTACCGGCGTAGAGATAATGGGGCACGTTTGACTTCAAGTATGGCCCCCTTATCCGATGAATCCGTCATCATCCGGCCTCTATACCGGCGTAGAGATAAAAGAGACTGATATTTCTCACATACTTTTATGAAACTTCACTTTAAATATTGAATCTCAATCCAGATCAGGTAATTAGAAAGTTTTGGACTTGCACACACATTAACCTGATTCTTGGCCTGGAGACGCCATGTTTCTCCTACCGTGGCCAAAAGTCGAATCCCAGTTTCAAGTCATAATTGAACACCGCATTGACGTCCAAAAGACCTAAAAAGTGACGTCATTTAGCTGTCACTTACTTAGGTCGTTTAGACGTCAGTTTGGATAGTATAAAATACGTCTTTTTGACCGATTGTGATGCCATCTTTCAGAAGTCATATAGTCGCCATGCGCTATAAACCCTATAGCCTAAAAATACTATATTTTTGTGCTATTGTCGCGAATGCGTTTTGTCTAAATGACTTACTTCGTCAGTGTCTCCAAAGAGGACGTGTATATCGTACCGCCGACGTCGATGTGGACCGGCGCCGTGTAGCGGGAAGCGGCGGCCACGCACGGGATGCCCGCCATTTTGTTGTAGTTGACAGACGGCGGGGTGGGGGACGACGAGTTCGACATGGTGGGAGACGTGGCGGGAGACGAACTCGGGGACATCAACCTGGAAAAGTGGAAAACGAGGTCTACAAAAATATGCTCTTGAGAAGAAACGGAGACCGATATTTTTGCATTTTTTTTTTCTGAAAGCTCTGGGTGTCACGTATCTGAAGGATGCACCTTCGCCAAATATCGTATGTGCACGTGCGGACATTTGTTAGTTGAGGCACGACAATGAGAGCTAACATTTTCAGTTTCATCAGTTCGCGCTACTAAAACGTGAGGTAAATGTCAAAGTCAAAAGTCCCAAAATTTTGCCGGATACTCCTATAAAGGCTGTGGCCTGTTTTATCGAAAATATTCGAAAAAAAATAATTCACAATATTTGAACAAATAGAAACCTCAAATTATGAAAATACTTCAGCAGATTTACGTTTTTTCCTATCAATGTGGAACTTTACGAGACCAATTTTCACATTGCCGAAGAAGAAGATATCGTAGGAAGAGGCCGAATGCCACAAAAAACAATTTTTTTTTATGTTCTGGTTCCCACGAAAAGGGATATCCTGTAATGTTCAGAGAACATCGTGAGAACCAAGAGAAATAAGGTAGGAATTTTCTTCTTAACTTTCTGGAGGTTATATGCCTCGGGAAACACCTTCCTTGGCAAATTGTTCCAGAGTCTCGCTGTTGGTTGGATGAACGAGTCTTTGGAAAGAGATGTTCTGCAGTTCTCCAAAGTGACCACGGAGGGGTTCGAAGCCTCAACTCGACGGGTTCATCTCGCGGGGACGGGAACAATTGTTGATATTTCAGAAGAGCATCGTCCATGAAAATATCTATAAAATAGAGCCAGATCGACAACTTTTCTGCGGTGTTCCAGAGAAGTGAGTGAGTTTGTGAGCGAGGCATAACCCACGAGACGAATTGTCCTTTTTTTTCCAAATATAGGAACAGTATTCCAGGACAAGTCGGATCTGTGCCTTATAGATCATGAGCAGCTGACTGGAAGTGAAATAGCTCCTGGCCCGAAACAGAAAACCAAGCCTTTTGGATGCACTTTCAGCAATTGATCTCACGTGATTTTCCCAAGGAAGGTAATTGCTGATAGTAATACCAAGCATCGAAATGGATGTCTTCAAAGGTATGGTTACTCCTGACAAGCTTATGTTGGGTACAGTGAGATCGGCTTTTCTAGAGAAAAGGCATGCTTGTGTTTTGTTTGCATTGCAATCTTCCAAGTTATTAGATCCCTATTCAAGAGTTGTTGCCAAGTCCATATTTATGTTGTCAACATTTCTTCCTCGTTCGTTTCTGAGTTGCCTGGCTGGTATTGAAGCCCTGGAAGAGAAGGCGGTATGGAGGGTATACTATCATCCGCAAAGCTGTGTACTGTACATGAAGTTGCTTCCAACAAATCGTTGATATGGAGTAGAAATAGTGTTGGTGCTAGAATTGATCCTTGCGGAACACTAGCATTGATGATATATTCATCAGTTCTACCACAGTTTAAGGAAATACCCATTCCGTAAACTGTGGTTCTACCAACCCTGACATCACGTTTCAGTGACGCGATAAGGTCGACAATAAAAAAGGCATGTTTTTTTTTACACCACATTCTAATCATTGATGGACGTGGCGTCACTCTCTGATGCATCGAATTGTTGGAGTCATCAGTGTCGAGAAAAAAAAGCAGTTATTTGATATGACAATCACAATTGTTTTTTTCTTCATTCATTTTTCTCTTTGTGATTTGATGGGGATTTAGATTGTTTTCAATTAGAAGGTCAGAATTGGCGAACACTAATGTGAAAGGGAAATTGAGTATTAAAAGTGTTATTGGAGTCCTTGTCTGCAGATCCAGAAGTTCTAGCAGTTCTTCTGATAGTTTCGAGGATGAAATATTGTATATGTTGGGGACTAGACAGACTAGAGGTTGAAAATTCTCAACAACCTATATACAAAAAATTGCATTGAATTGTGTGAATTGGCAAACAGCTCTCAAATCCAATATTTTGTCATTATTTCTTTGAGGTTATGTTGTCGCTGTCCAAAATTCGTCCACCATCTCTATACATCGGTGGAATGGTTTGCAATTTTGGTTGACACAACAGTAATAATTGAACTTTGGATGAGGTTATGTTTATTATGTTCATTCCAGATACCAAATACCACTGATGAGCTCTGGTGAAGCGAAACAGCTGCCTGGTAACACCGACTTCCTACGGATGTATGTATGTCTGATATATTTATTTTCATATGACCTAGTAGATGTGTAGATCAGAATAACTAATAGGTACGTTTTAGAGAATGTCCCTACAAGGACGCCCTTGCAGTGTTCTGGATTAGATATATTTCGCAATGTTCCCTTAGAAAATTGTTATTCAATAAACAAGCATTCCAAATTTTCGAATTATTCAGTATTATATCGACCCATGTAACAACTGTTAATGTTTATGAAAATGTACACTCGACATGGTCAGTAGTTGTCTCGGTAGTTGTAATACGCACAAAACACCTATGAAACAGCAGGCAGCACTGTTTCTGACTATTATAAATAATGACTTTGATAATTATAATATGCGAGATCACATTGGCACAATCAATTTTCTTCTTCGTTTCCTACACGCTTCTGTGCTCAGCCGATCTGTCATATTTGCAAAACTATCGCAATTATTAGTGATGTTTCCTAATAGGATTCCAGAGGAAACCGTCAGCATAAACAATATAATTCAATCAATTTCATGGATTAACCATGTTAATGAACTTTAATGGACGACCATCACTGTTTCCTCGGAGTTGAATTGATGTAATGTGATTCATTTCTATTGCTCAGTCTCTTTTTTTATTATGAAGACGAAACACTGTTGCATCAACCACTAAGGGTTCGAAGCAACATAATGATAGTATTCTTGTAATTAAATAATAAAGAATAATAATGTCATTCTATTCAAGTGTTGAAGCAATATTATGTAAATTCTACTCAGGTCACTAATAGAAGACATTCAGAAGAAAAATTATTTTTGTGAACTCCACTGATTAGTTGTTGAAAATTAAGTTGATGCACCTGCATTCATTCTGGAATATGTCATTTCGTCGTCAATATTACTCGTCACATTTTTGTCAAACATTTCAGATCATTAATTTATAGGCAACTCTATTATTTATTATTCTTTGGTAATGAAGTTTGATGGTTGCAGTAGGAAGCAAGAATATATTTCATTTGAGTGCTGAAAATCGATCCAGACATTACTTCGCAAGAATAAAGTATTGATGTTTCGACACTTTCCTGAAATGAAAGGTAAACCAAAAAGCAAGTGCCTTTAAGTGGATGTACAGGTGCAAGTTTCCAATGATATCTACATAAGTAAGTTTAAGTAAGTTTATTAACCACTGTGCAATAAAAAAATAATAACAAAAATAACTAGATTATCTACAAGAAATATACAAATCTTCAGATTCACACTCGGTAAACAAACTTCAAAGACCCACAAAGGCGAACCTTGAATGTGGGTATATGGAGCATGAAACATAGTGTTGAAAAAAGCCAATATAATAGTGAATAAATACAATAAACTTATAATAAGGACCTATAGAAATATGCTACTCGCAGCATGTATGGTTTACATAGTGCAATAAATATAATGCAATATATATGTATATGTATATAAATATTCATAAATGATATCAATAACATAGTATGTGTTTTTGCAAATATAACTCAATATCACAAGAGTAAGGGAATATATAATGTGAAATAGTGCTGTCATAAGTTGTTCTTTCTGTTGATTAATTGATGAATTCTTGCTCTTGGTGTATTTAGAATCCATTCTTTAAGATTTTTTTTTGAATGATCTAATGAAGTTATTCTCCCTTAAGTAGAACGGAATCTCAGCATAGAGGACAAGACAAAGATAAGTAAAACATTTTTGAGAGACCGTTTTTCTGGTTTTGGGAATAAGTGTTGATTTTGATTTATACCGGGTATTATGTCTATGAAAAATTTGTTGAGCCTTATGTTCGAATTTGTGATGTCTTATCATTAAGGACTGAAAGTAAAGTTGTCTAATATCTAAGACTTGCGCTTCTTCAAAAAGTTGTTTGCTAGGGTGCCTATATGGTTTTTTGAAAATTATTTTTGGCAGCCATTTTTGGGTGACTTCCAATTTCTTCAGATGATTATTTTTTATTCCTCCCCACGTGAGTATACCATAAGTGATGTGTGTTTGTACTAGAGAGGAATATAGTATTTTCAGAAATCTCATATCAAATATTTTTCTGTAAAATCTGAATCTGTGTAGAAGTCCTTTAAGCTTTTCTGTCACGAATGCAGCATGATGATCCCATCTCAGATGACAATCAATGATTATACCTAGATATTTAGTTTTATTTTCCATCGATATAGCAATTGTTTTGTTATGAGAGATGATGAAATGTAATCTCTCAAATTCAGGCATCGTATTTACTGTGCTACAAAAGGGAACTATTACTGTTTCTTTGAAATTGACGCTGAGTAACATGGAATTGAACCAATTTATTACATAAATGAAATCATATTCCACTAGAGTTTTCAACTCTTCCCAAGAGGAATTTTTGTAAAAGATAACCGTATCGTCAGCAAAGCTGACAATTTCGCCTTGGATCTCGACACTAAACAATTGATTGAGGTATATGTTAAAGAGAAGTGGACCTAGTACTGTACCTTGAGGTACTCCATATTTTACTATGTGTTCACTACTCAATGAATCTCCAATTCTCACCGACTGTTTCCTGTTCGACAAATAGCTAGATAGTAATTCAAATGCTTTACCTCGAATTCCAATATTCTCCAGAATGAAAAATGTCGGAAAACAGCAATATCAGAATATCAAATCTTTATTAAAATAGGCAAAGATAGTTCAAATGTAGCTGAACTCACAAGACTGTATTCGAACATCACAATATTTATTATAGCATGAAATAGTATAGGTAGTGAGAAAATATAAATGGACAACAATGAGTATGAAGATCTGATAACAACTTATGTTATGATTACCATTACGACGAGTTTTTGTAAGTAGCTAGCCCATTGTCGATCTAAATGAAAACAGTAGGCGACCTAGTGCTCTCGCTAACTTACTACCAAACTAGGTTGTCTTATAGAACGACAACAGCTAGCCCCAGACCAGATAACTTCGGATCCCGCACATCCAGTTTATTATAGGTTTGGGCCATACACCTATTACAAAAATAGGTCTATATGGTTCGCACGTTCTTCATGAGAGTTTCTTGATCAGTATCCGAACCATATAATCCGAACGTGATTCGAACTTAATAACGTATAACATCTTTTACTCGTGAAACTATTGACAGTATTGACGTAACGCAGATGCACAAACATGATTTTCAACCAATCAGATATAGAGTTCACAAAAACTAATTTTTCTTCTGAATTACTTTTATTAGAAAGCTGAGTAGACTCCTACAATCAGATTTCATCAAAATGAAGCAATTTGAGTAATCAATCTTCCATAATATTGCTTCTACAGTGGTAGACATTTTGAAGTTGGCAACCTGGGGTGAACTTTACCTTTCAACTCGTTCGTTACCAGGGATGCCGACATGTGAGGAAGCCCATACAAATTTGTGGTCTTTAGAGGTAGAATTGATTTTTGAATCAGTATGTTTCTTGATGGCCTGGGGATTGTGACAATATATTTGTTGCATGCATGCCTCAGAGAACTCAACGAGTCTGTTAGCATTTATGTTCTCTGTAGTCCTTCATCAGTAAGAAAATCGACCACTTGCAGAATTGTCCCCCACTGTAGATGATGCATACTGTTAGGGATATTCTGAAGATGAACCAGTTACTGTTAGTATCCTCATATTTTGTACCGTGTATAATGTATTTTTGGCAGTACTTTGACTAAGCGAGGAGTAGAAATGATTGAGAAGCAAACTATGGTTTGTATCGGACTTATTGAAGGTGGTAAGGTGTAGATTGCGTGATAGCAATGGAATGAGCCAAGTTGGCGTATGGTAATGTGGGTAGACAGTATTATTGGAACGTTAGAATTCGTTTCTTTATCGCTTAGAGCGCATGAAAGGAAATTCCTACATTGTTCGAAGTATAGGGCGAGAGAAGGTAAAAGGAGAGCTTTTTTTTGAAATTTTGGAGGTTCTTGGGAATACTTCCATTGGCGGAGAGTGGTATTGCTAGTGATGGAATGATAGCAGAGATTTCTGGAGAACATTCCCTGTGGTAGAAAAGTGAAAGGTCGCCGTCTTTTGTACGGTGTTCTAATGAAGTCAAAGTATTAGTGAGTGTGGCATCACCCACCAGACGGATGGCTCTTCTTGGGAGATGTAGTTGTTTATCATGTGTTAGAAATAGTATGTTATTCTCCTGCGGCTTTCAAAAAGGTTTCAGAAATGGTTGTTTATCATGGTATGCTGGATGGTGGATTCAGGAAGAGAATGTTAATGCATTTCCTATAGACTTAAGTATTGGCTTCGCAAATGCAAAGATGATTTTTCAGCTTCACAGTGCAGAATTTTGGTGGGTATGGTTCTATAATACTCCGAGAGTCTGAGAGCTGTGTTATAGACCGAGCTCGGGACAGAATCAATCATTTTCAGAGCCGATTTACTTGTTAATTCATATATCATGGAGCCATAATCAATTTCAGACCCAACTAAGAAAACAGTGCTGCTCAAAATGCCGCTTTCTGCAGAAATAAATATCGCCAACTTGTGGACGACAAGGAGAGCTTACATTATCATTATTTGGTATCAAATTTCATGCTGGACTTACCTCATTTTGATTTGTGCACTTGGGAACATCGTCCTATTGGTCAGGTCTTTGGGCTCTTTTTCCAAGTCATTTCTTATTTCAGTCTTCTTTCTGGAAATGAAAGAAAAAGCTCACTTTAGAATGAAGAGACACAGGACTGGTGTAGTGGAAACGCAAGCTAACATCTTTCAGAATACTTTGGGTTGAAGAATCTTTGTCAAGGTATGTACAGACATACCAGAGTGTATGATCCATGCGCATACTAACGAAGTACACATACTACTACTACTAAAATGGATAGTTCTTGGTATTGTAGGTATCTTATAATTTGCGGATTTCATTCACACAGCATGGCAAGCAGATAACCCAGTCAGGAAACTTCTCAAATCAATTAATCAATAGTTTCACTTTCGGAACTTCTCGTGGGAACATGATCAATGAGCTAGCTTGAGCTCAGAACAATCCCAGCAAACCACATGAAGGTCTTTCTGAATCAAGAGATGGCTTTGTGAGTAGAATGAGTTTTACAACTTTTGGTAATATACTATTGTTTACTCAACATAGGAGGGGAATTGTTCGTCATCTCAAATGAGTAACTTGCAAAAAAAGAAGCTGCAGGGCACAATGATGTAAATAAATCATAGCTCCCTATAAGATCAATGAAAATAGCGAATACCTATTGTATTTCCATCAATCAATATCGATGAAACAACAACTAATAGTCGATATCGCAAGATTGCCTGTCTTCTCAACTCATAAATCATGAATCCATAATGCACAAAAGCAGTAGCCATCGAATGAGCGTGCACACGCCACCAACAGCAGCCAACTCTTCAAAGACAATTTATTATTATCTCGAGAGTCGAGATGCCAGTTAGGATCAGGCAAGTCTCGTCTACGTTACTACGTATTAAAATAGCTATGGAGCCACGAACAGCGCGAGATCAGTGATCTGTTTACAGACGATCAGGTTATCTATGAAACAGAGGAAACAGTCGACGGTTCTCAGACCGCTTTACCGGCGAAGCAGAGATCAAAGTGGAATGGCGGATGATTGGTTTGGCATACATTTGGCATTTGGTCGTTAGAGTGAATAGTGTGAACGATAAATGTGTTAGAGTGGAAGTTTTTGACGAAGTTGATAGTTGATGTTTTCATTTAGAATAAGAGTTCTACATCAGATAAGCCATCAGATTATGAAAGTTTTGATGTGATATATTTTTGTGATTGCAGTTTGTCCAAATTGAGAGTCATTATAGGTACAACATTTCACCCATGTATAGTCGAATATGTGAATAAATTGTCAGTGCTTGCTTGTTGCATGTTTCTATGAAATATCCAATTTCAGGATCATACAATATTCGTTCCTCATTGAAATCGTCCACAGTTTTCCTTGTCATATTCCAATATGACTTTACAGCACTTGTCATAAAAATTCGTGAATATCTAGTGATAATCACAATCAACAATGAACATTCAAAAACATTATTCATTCGCACACTAGACAGGCGTAAGTCATAAACGATGAGAAGTTGATTGTTCATTTACTAATTTGGCAACTCCAACTTGAACTACGAAATATCCCCATTGCTCGAACTGGAATGAAATGTTAGATAACTACAAAACACAAAGTCATCTCCACAAATTTTCATAAAATGATCAACAATGGTAGATGACGGGAGAAAAACGACTGCTTTCCTGGCTGATGCACGCAGAACATTCAATCAATCAATGAAAATATACTTTATTGTCTGAAGAAAAAACAATTCTCATTGACAAAGTCATACATACATAATGAATAAGATATACCTAATATCACAGTATCTATAGCAAGAAAGTGATGCTTCAATCATACTCATACTAACAAATGAATAATAATAAAAGAAATGAAAAAGACAGTATCAATACGGATTGAAAGTGTATGTACTAAATTGATATCATAAACCTAAATGAATAAGAGTATTCTGCCAGGAGCTATCATGTCATGAAAAAAATCAACTTGAATTATTCCAATCTCTAGCTGAATATTCTTGAACACAATAATATGTTTCTTTGGAGAGATGTTGTTTCACAGATCTCCTAAAATGAATTGGAGATACAATATTCCTGAAATCGACTGGAAGATGGTTATATAATTTGACAGCATTATAAATCAAGGACTTTTCAGTTAAGCTAGTCGATGGAATGGGTTGTTGGGAAAGTGTTGTTTTGGCAAGTAGAACTTACAACCGCATCATATGACGATTTATTGTTGTGAACTAAACATATTGTTTCGAGAATGAAGAGGCACGGAAGTGTTAGGATTTTGTGCTCTGAGAACAGAGGTTTGCATGATTCTCTAGGTGCCACTTGTAGAGGTATCGAATAGCCCGCTTCTGGAGGATGAAGATCGGTTTGAAATTCTGTTCACTGCAAATGCCCCAGAAAGGTATTCCATTATCTTATGTGTGACTTCCATATCTTATGTGTGAGCATGGTAAACTAATTTGGACGTGGCCATGCCTAGTTCTTTATCCGCAACGCATAACATCCAGACGCCAATTTTTTACTCAAAAGTTTCACGTGATTATCAAAGTTGAGTTTGTCATCCATTGAATTACATGCTCCCGAAATCTATATATGCATATATGCATCGATTCGTATAAACGAATACTGATGCAGATATTTCTTTCCCTAATCGAGATCAATCGGCATCAAGGAAAGAAACACTCGCATCAGTATTTGTTCATACGAATCGATGCATACATTTCGAGAACATGTAATCCAATATTCTGCGTGGCATTAGCCTGGAAACTAGTTGTTTTTCATTTTATGAACATTTGTGAAAATTACTTTGAGTTCTGTAGTTATTGAAGTCCAACTTATCTAGCACGACGAACTAATAAGAGTGCAGAACGGTGCAAGAAGACACGGAATCACTAACCCAATGAAAACTTTCCTTTGGTCAATTATTATACTTCTGCGTGAAATATTTGACAAAATCTATACGCCTTTCATTGACCCTATACATGGCTTTCATCGGAGATGATCTCTCGAACCAAACTATACCCAGCCTTACAAAAGCAGTTCATTCTATTGTTTCTGCTCGTTCAATAGACCTTTTATTTGCAGAAGCTAATTGAAGTGGAGACCAAAATGAGAGGACCATTAGATACCCTCGCAATTCCAAGTATTTTGTAGGCAGGCTCCTTCATCCCTTTCAAAGCTAATATTTATTCAAATGAGCACCGAACGACGTCGAAATAACCTTCTGGTGTTTTATTATAGAAGAATTCTCGTTTGATACCTGACTATCTACAGGCATGTAGTTTTAATAGAAAAGAATACAAGGGTCCGTTGATAGAATTTCAGAGTTGCTGGGTTTGGAAGCTGTTGGAGAATTGTCCTCACATGGACAAAACCGAGGGGCGAACCGCAGACGAAAATTTGTACACCAGACTTCACATTTTCCTAACTTCACTGACTTCATCATGACTCCACTGACTCCATCATGACTTCACTGACTTCATCGAGACTTCAATGAATTCATCGTGACTTTACTGACTTCATCAAGACTTGACTGACTTCATCGAGACTTCACTGACTTTATTGGTACTTCTTGGGACAAGATTCTCATTGAGACATCACGACAATCATTGAAAATTCAATTTCGTTGAGAAGTGACGTCATTATGTAGTTCAGTAAACGAACAGAAAATAGGGGGAAAAATCGTGTAGTCGCAAAGTTCTGTAGAGTGATGAAGGAAAGTGCCATGTACAACATACTGAAAGTTCTGATCCCTAGGGGTTGAGCGGGGCAGTAGGGGAACGGTTGAAGGTCATTTTTTCAAGTTATTCTTGAATAATCCGACAATCGTAAACTCTAGCGAAAAAATGAAAGTATACGATGTTGAACAACATGAAATGTTCCTGAGATACAGGGAGAGAAAAAATCGACAAGTATCAAAAATAGAGTTTAATGGTTTGAAATTCATGTTCAATGTCTCAAATCATGGAATTAGTGTTCAACGTGGCTAATAACAGAAACAAATTTTTTTTTCGAAAGCAAACATCTCGGCAAACATTTTGAATGTATACTTTTCAATAATTGCCAATTATAATAATCATCTTCGTCCATATTTTCCATATCCAGCACCGGTGCATCTTATATACATATATACGTACTGAGCGATCCATCCTCCCCTCCATATTTTTATCCAGTTGAAGGCTGCTGATCTTAATGAGCTTCTCTCAGATTTTTTGCAATTTAGTCAACTTTGATATTCTCTTTTTTGCAAGATAGTTGAACAACACCGTGTGTTTTGTTCTTGAAACCTCCAATTTTCATACTTGCACGGGAAATGCTCCTCAGGAATCTGTGCTATCATTCAATCACTAGCAATACCAGTCAAACTAACTCGACAGGTCCAGTCAGCAAATTATTTTGTCTCCAATATTTTGTTTTTGTAATTTATAATGTTTGGTTTATTGTGGCATGATATTTCTTTGGATATTACGCTGGTATAATTCGATGGCGAAGAGGAAATAACTCGGGAAAGAAGGGTCACTCGGATTGACGTGAGGATAGAAGACTGTTGTATTTCACGGGAAATTTGAAATCTAGACAAACGTGGTACGTATTTATACCGATTTTCAGTATGGGGATTCATCGAGACTTCACTGACTTCATCATGACTTCATCGAGACTTCACTGACTTCATCGAGACTTCAGTGACTTCATCGTGACTTCATTGACTTCATCGTGACTTCACTGACTTCATCGAGACTTCTTCAACGTGTACACCAGACTTCATTAGCGGTTCGCCCCTCGGACAAAACGTATGGTTATGATCGAGGTTATGATTCAGTCTAAACAACTTGACTGAATATAAACATAGTCCATATTTTATGACGATATATAAGCTCTTAAAAGATCAATTAATGGGTCACCTTGTGATTCAAACGCAAAATATCAGGTACAGATGACTCAACTCTTGTACTTTATACTAAGAATTTGTATCGTCGACTCTTTCAGAAATTGGACCATGAAAATGTGCACAGCCCTATTATCTTCCTCTCAATTATCTTTGTTACGTGAATTTATTCATAGACTAGGGTATACTGAAGTGTCCA